TTTGGAAACAGCTATATATAAAAACAAGGGTGCCTTCAGCTTGCTGACACTTGTTTCCTCACAGCTGTGAGACTAGGTCCCCCCAGCTCTACCTCTAATCTCCTGTGGTCCTGTTTGTAACCCTCTTCCCCTCCTCCTCCTCCTGCTCCTCCTCCTCCATCCTCTTCCTTCTTTTTCTTCTGTTTTTAACAAAAAAGCTTAATTTTATGTTTATGAGTGTTTTGCAAGCATGTGCACCTGTGTACCACCTGCAACTTCCCTAGAACTGGAGTTACATGTGGTTATGAGCTGCCATGTGTGTGCTAAGACTCAAACCTGGTTCTCTGGAAGAGCAGCTCATACTGTTAACTACTGAGCCAGCTCTCCGGTTGCTTTCCCCATTCTTGAAAATGTTGCAAAGCTCTTGCTCTGGCTTTTATGCAGGGACCTCAGGAAGGGAATGTGGAGGCAGCCATGCATGTCATGGTTACCCTAGCCACAGGGGGTTCCCTCTGTCCCTGTTGCAGGCACACCCTTTGGAAGCGGGTCCAAGATGTGGTCACCCCTATCCTGGCAAGCATGATATCTCACATTGATAGAGATGGCAACCTGGAGCTACTGGCCCAGCCAGATTCACCGGCCTGGGCTCAAGATCTTTGGATGTTTATTTACAGTGATATTAAGTTCCTGAACATCCCTCTTGTGTTGAGTAACACAAGGTAAGTGGCTGCCTTGCTTTCATGAAGGGAAGTTCCTAAAAAAGCAGCTCTTTACTCTCCCTAAGTTACTGATATGCAGGTGCTGTCCTTAGGTACCAGGGGCAGCATAGAGGGTCATAGCAGTTCACAATGCTTATCAAACCCCTGAGAGGTCTTTGGCCACTCTCTACTGTCCCATTTGCCTGGTTTGGGAGCAAAAGTGATGGTTCAGGACACGAGGGTCTACTGTGCCAAGATGCTGAGCTTGGTGAGCCTGTGCTTCAGCTGCCTTCCCTGTGTCAGTCTCCATCCAGGGCCTGACCTTGTGGGGCTCCAGGATATATGTTACTAAAAAGTATAGAAAAGAATGAGATATAGAAAGTGTATAGGTGCAGCATATGTCGGTACCCACAGAGCCCAGAAGAGGGTGTTGGTTCCCTTAGAACTAGAGTTACAAGCAGCTGTGAGCAATGTGGGTACCAGGAACAGAACTCTAGTCCTCTGGAAGAGCAGCAAGCACTCATGACTACCAAACCATCTCTGCAGCTCTTGGCTGAACGGCTGATGGAAGCACTTACTTACGTATAGTGTGCAGCTGATGTTCACGAGACAAGGCTTTAAGCTAATGGTCAGACTCCTGTACACAGGGGCAGTCAGACAAGGGACAGGCAGAAAGGGCACAGGAGGTCTGGTTCTGGCATAGAAAGTTGGGTACCTTACTTGTCTCCTGCTTCTACTTTTTCTTTTGTCTGAAAATAGGGGTTTCCCTTGAGTCCCTTTATAGTGGAATCCCTGACCTAGAAAACCCCTCCTACCCACATGACCTACAACACCATGTCTATAATTTTTAATTTTATTTTTAAAATGTACTAATTTTCTGTGCATAGGCACATAAGTGCGCATGCACCTGGAGGCCAAGGGCAGCACCGGCTCTCTTCCTTCATCACTCTACACCTTTTCTCACAGGGGTGTGTGTGTTTCCATAGTTGTTCACAGAGGCAAGAACAACCCTTGGAGCTGGAGCTACAGATAAGCCATCTGACATGAGTGCTAGGAACTGAACTCAGGTTTTCTGAAAGAGTAGAATGTGCTCTGAACTGCTGAGCCATCTCACTCACCCCCCACCTTATTTTCTGAGAGCAATTCTCTCACCTGACGCTTACCTATAGGCTGGACAGTCAAGACTAGGGATTATCCCTCATCTCTGTGTTCCCAGCACTCAGGTTTCAAGTGTGGGCAACTGCAGCTACTTTTTCAAAAGGGGGTGCTAGGAATCTAAGCTCAGGTCCTCATGCTTGCACAGCATGGCTTGAACCATCTCCCATGCCCTGCTGGGTCTCTCTCCTTGTTTCCTTGCTGTGCTAAAATGCTCCTAGCATATCATCCACACAGGCAAGTGCCCCAGTACAGAGCCATCTCCTAAGCACAGCTTTTCTCTCAGGACTGAGGGCCACGGCAGTTGTACGCAGCAGCCATCGTCAAGCTCCATCTCACCAGCCATATTCTCATTTGCCTTGCTGCAGGTCCAACAACGAGATGTCCTTCATCCTGGTGCAGAGCCACATGAACCTGCTCGAGAATGCCTGCAATGCTGTCCCTTTCAGCTGGAGGATCAGGGACTACCTGGAGGAGCTCTGGGTGCAGGCTCAGTATATCACAGACTCAGCAGGTAAGGCTACCCCACGGCCACCTCAAGGCAGTGCAGCTGAATTAACCTGTTGAAGGCAGGACAGTTTTGGAGGTTTTAGCTTTAACACTCTGCATGTGGAGTAGTCTCCAGTATATCATTCCTCCATTTTAACATTGTTAAAGGGCTGACAATATGGCTCAGTGAGTACAGGGACCTGCCACCAAGCCTGATAACCTGAGTTCAATCCTTACGATTTATGTGGTAGAACTGATTACCCAAGTTGTCTCCTGTCATGTGCTGCGGCACATGAGTGCATGTGTAAAATGGTTTTGGAGTGTGTGTATGTGTGTGTGTTTTTTACAAACAATAACTAATTCTCTTAACTCCCTACCAGCCCTCCTCCAGGTTTCCAGCCCAGCCCCTTCAGAGGTTTCTCCTGACCGTTCCTTCCTTGGTTCCCCAACAGTCTGCTTAACACTCCTTTCTCCCACTTTTCCCAAAACCAGCAGCTCCAAACTACAACTTGTAGTCTATCTGCTCAGTTCAGCCTCTCCTGGCTCATCTATGTCCTAACAAGTCTTCTGCACCAACTGCCTTCTCCTCTCACTCTGTGAGCCCTTCATCTTTTTTTTCTCTGCCTCAGCTGGATTTTAAAAACCTATCTTGTTTTCAGAAATCCAAAAGAAAGCCAACACTGATGGGCTTAGGGACAAAGAGTTCACTAAGAATTCTTAAAGGGCCAGTTGACCAGCAACTAGGGATGCTTTCAAGAGCCAGATGCACAAAATAAATCATACTACATGCATGTATATGGACAAATACATATAACCATAAATTAAAACTTTGTTGAAAGAGCAAGTCTCCATCATGGGTTGTAAGTCTGTAGGTGACAAGGATAGCCTTTAAAGTGACCTTTAGTCACTGTTTTGGGGCATGACAAAATAGGTCATGTTACATCAGAGAAAGAGTTTGCTTCCCGATGTAGGAAGGTTATTCTCTTCTGAGGCTACTAGATAACACAGGTGGCAGCCTTGGGAGATGTCCCCATTGTGGAACTTTATCAGGAAATGCTGGCAACCAGAGCGAAGCATCCTCCTCCATATGGAGCCACCAGGTCCTCCTAGTCACAAATACCCTCCTGTCACATGTGAGAGATTTGGCCATTGTCTGTCTAAAAAAAATGGCATCCAAACATCTTGTGAAAAGTTGTTTTCTGCAACAAGTGTCCCTCAGTGCTCACCAGAGGCTGGTGCAGCTACTCAGCACTGGCCTCGGTTTCCAGGTGTGCAAGCACCTTCCTGTCCCATGACTATAGTCCATCTGCCCCTGCTTGTCTAGGGCAGCATGTGACCAGAGCTGTGGGAAGGCAGGGCTCTAGTTGCTGTGGCCTCCGACTCTAGCTCAAGGAGCAGCCCACTTCGTCCTCACCTGGAACTCTAGTCATGCAGCACAGATGCGGCTCTCAGGTGTTTTCTTCCCTCTGGGCCAGCTTGGCTGTTTGTGACCTAACTTTAACATTGGTTCTGCATCTCGTCTTCCCTTCCATCTGGACAGTGGCAAACGCCATGTTGTCCCTGGGCTCCAGTTCAGCAGAGCCACCACCTCTTCAGCCTGGATATAATGGCTCCTTTTTGGGGCAGTAATTTCTATAGACTCAGTTTCCTCTTTTTCATGCCTCTCTGTCTTCTTCTCTATAGGATTATCAAAGAAGTTCGTGGAAATCTTCCAGAAAACTCCCTTGGGCATGTTTCTTGCTCAGTTCCCTGTGGCACAGCAGCAGCAACTCCTGCAGAACTACTTGAAGGACTTCCTGCTCTTGACCATGAAAGTGTCTTCAGGGGAGGAGTTAACGGTAGGTAGGAGTCAAGGTTCAGATCCTCCAATCAGACAGAGCTGCATGGAACACACTCAGGCCAGGCCCTCAGCCTCCACTGTGCCTTCTAGAACCAAACCCGTGTCCTTGGAAGCTCTTAGATCTCCCCATAGCTGCCAGCATAGTGCCATACATCTGTAATCCCAGCACTTGGGAGGTAGAAGCAAGAGAAACAGAAATTCAAGGCCTTAGTAAGTTCAGAACCATCCTGGGCTACATGATGTTGAAATAATTATTTAAAACGGCAACACCTGTTCTAGCTTGCAGTTAAGGAGCCACCATCTTCCCAACTAGCCTAGGCCTGAGGTCACTATCAGCAGCGTGTTCTCGCTCCTCCTGCTGCTGCAGCTCAGGCCGCTGGCTCAGGTGGGCCAGAACACTGATCCTGGCACCCATGAGATGGCAGTGTGGGAGATGGCTCTGCCAATCTTAGGAATGAGACTCTAATGTGTAAAGATTAACCAATATCTTTATATATTTGGCAATGCTCAAATATCAAGATGCCCACACAGTTGGAGGTGTTAACCAATTAACTAACCTAGATATAAGTTGTTACCCAGAACTGCTCTCAGTATATGCGTGGTCATCCATGGTGCCTACATCTCTGTCTCTCTGCTAGCTCCTCCTCTTCCTTCTCCTCTCCCCCTCCTTACTCCTCCTCTTCCTCTCCTTACTCCTCCGACCGTGCAGGGGAAATATGCTGCTACAACATATTAATAATGAAATTCACTGGAACAGTTGACGCATTGGACTCCCTAAAACCTTCCTACTTCACTGCATAGGTACACACTTGAAAGCATACCACAACTAAAGTGGTTGAAAGTGAATGCAGTTTACCTAGGAGTCATTAAGAATTAATTTAGCCTTGTTTGATTTGTGAAACTTATAAGCCACTTGGAAATAGAAACAATTTTAGATGCCTAGCTATATGGCATCCATTGTCAGTCCCGCCACTAAGGTAGTGAGTACGGTGTGAACAGTTATCAATGCCGTCTTTACATATTTACTTAGCAGAGCTAATCTGAGTGTGGGTGTGACTGTGTGAGACACTAGGGACTGAACCTAGTCCTTGCCTTGGAAAAGGAGGCTCCAGGGCTGGAGGAATGACTCCAGGGTTGAGAGTGATCACTGTTCCTCCAGTGGATCTAAGTTTGGTTCCCAACACTCACGTCAGGCAGCTCACAAATGCCTGTATCTCTATCTTCAGGGGCATCCAAATCCTTCCTCTGGCCTCTTTGGATACTTGTATATATGTGCAAGTGTGCACACACACAAATAAAAATAAAAAATCTTAACGTATTGAAATAAAAACTGACTTTAAAAAGAGAGTCAATGTTCAAAGGCAGAAGCAAAGACACGTTGATCACCTGATGAGGGCCCCTCAAACAGTGACCAGAGCATGTCAACACCATCTTCACTGCAAGCATTGTTTGAGATGGGGGCTAATGCAGGGATGCTCTTGTCAGCTTGGTCTCAATGAATATGGAATTAGGAACAATTTAATCTTGGGGGAAAAAAACAGGAGAGGGAAAGCTAAATATGGTGTTACACTCCTATAATCCTACACTCCAAAAGACCAAGGAAGTATTGTAAGTTCAAGGCTAGCCTGGGCTACATAGGCAATCACTGTACTAAATGAGGTGACACATGACTTCAAGTCCAGTACTGGGGAGGCAGAGGCAGGTAGATCTCTGTGAGTTTGAGCCAGTCTTGATCCACATACTAAGTTCCAGGGCAGAGCTACACAGAAAGTCTCTGTACAAAAATAAATAGATAAATAAAATAAAAAATAAAAATCTTAAATCAATAAGAATAAAGGAAGGGACAGATTAAAGTGTGGAGATTTTAATATGAGTGCTTGCCAACCGTTAAAACAATGCTACCTGAGTTGTCTAGTGTTGGAGGGGTATTTAAAATGTAACACTGAGTAAAAAATTGGGGAACACACTGACCCCAGTTGTCTTAGTTAAGGTTTCTGTTGCTGCAGCGAACACCAAGACCAGAACGCAATAGGGAGGGAAGGTTTACTTGGCTCACGGCTCCGTCTCATTATTCATCACTGAAAAATGAAGTCAGGGCAGGAACTCAAACCATGCAGGATCCTGGAAGCAGGAGCTGATGCAGAAGCCACGGAGAGGTGCCACTTACTGGCTTGCTCTGCCTGCTTTGATACAGCACTGAGGACCACCAGCCCAGGGGTGACGCTGCCCACAGTGGGTTGGGCCCACTCTAAGCAATCACTAATTAAGAAATGTCCTATAGCTGGATCTTATGCAGGCATTTTCTCAATTGAGGTCCCTTCCTTTCAGGTAATTCTAGCTTGTGTCAAGTTGACACAAGACTAGAGAACACACCAGTTTAGGGTGCCAGTGAGGAAAGCACTCATAAGGTTCCTTCAAAAAGCAGCCAGGGGACTTTTTAATTTTCTTTTCTAGACCTTTGAATATTTATGATTTTTCATAGGAAACCATGTCTTTATCATGTACAATTATGTACTAAAATTCTTCTGTCTCCAGTTTCTGCAGATGGCCCTGTGGTCCTGCCTCAGTGAGCTCCAAGTGGCTTCAGGAACACCTGAAGAAGGGCTCTCCTTGCCCTGGGTGCACCTTGCCTATCAGCACTTCCGGACCCGGCTACAGAACTTCTCCAGAATTTTGACCATCCAGCCTCAGGTTCTGAATAGCCTCAGTCAAGCAGCAGAGAAGCACAACCTAGCTGGGTGTGAAATGGTATGTGTTCTTTTGGAGAAGGCCACCTGCTGCCCTCAGTGAGAGCTTTAGATTCTATCCTGAAAGCAGAGGGCTTACAGAGCCACGTTCTAAACAGATTCTTTACGGGCACATCTGCAAAGTAATGGAGGAGTAGGTTTCAAGCCTGGACCCCAGAACACACTGGGACTAGGGATGCAGGATATCTCGGGGAAGGGGGTAGAGAAGAGCATCTTGCTTCATCACATGCCAGTTCTCCTTGTTGCAGACACTGGATGCATTTGCAGCAATGGCCTGTGCTGAAATGCTCAAGGGAGACATCCTGAAGCCAAGCCCCAAGGTTTGGTTACAGCTCGTGAAGAATCTCTCCACACCACTGGAGCTCGTCTGTTCAGAAGGGTACTTGCAAGACAGTGGGAGCATTACCAGATCTGTCATCCAGGAGGTCAGGTGAGCAACAGGAGCCTGCCTCTCTGCACTTTGCCTGTGCTCACCCCTGGAACCTGCCAAACCCTACAGCATTACTGAGGAAGGTGGGCAGGCCTTTCTGGGACAGGAGTGACATTAACCTCATTCACCTGCTTAACGGTGGACCCTCTCTCAAGTGCTGGGTGTCTCATTTGATTCTAAAGACCCAGGAAGAAAATGATCCTGGGAGTGGTAGGAAGTGGACATGTTGTTACAAAGTAGGCAAAGTAGAAGGGGCCTCAGGGACAGGCATGGCAAGTGGGGAAGGGGCAGGCTGTCAAGGTCAGGAGACAGTCCCTGTGCTGTACTTGCAGGACCAATGTGCACTGAACCACTGAACTTCAGACAGGTCTTACCTGAGTGTGGTGTGTAGAAGAGTGGGGAGCTAGTCTGCCCCACAGTGCTGTGTGTACGGGCAAGTGCCCTCCAGTTGGCCTAGTCTCCCATCCATTGCTCAGCTCCTGCTCTGTTCTCCCATAGCTCAGGCTCCTCTGTCACAACTCATTGGGTAACACCCCTCTCTTGACAGAGCCCTGTGGAACCGAATTTTCTCCATTGCCCTCTTTGTGGAGCATGTTCTTCTGGGGACTGAGAGCCAGATTCCTGAGCTGAGTCCGCTGGTAACAACATATGTCTTCTTACTAGACAAAGTAAGTACGGTGCTTAAGTAAAAAGTCTGCCCATCTCTGGGCAGTGTTGAGACCTGAAACCTCCCGGGTCAGTTTCCTCTGGTTGGTGAATTGTTGCTTAGTTCTCTGGCAAGCTTACATAGCTGTGCCAAGGACAGTGATGTTATCACAGACCTTTGTATCCTTGATGGTAGCTATTTGACCATCTCCTCTCAGACCGCCAAGCCAGGGTTATCACTGAGCATTCAGTTGTAGGAATAGGTATGCAGTTAACCAGCCTGTGACTTCTTTGGAAGGAATGAAGAAATTAGCACCCTTACCGTCTAGAGTGACTGTAAAATGACCCAGTGGCTCAACTCAGGGGGGAGAATATGTCATCACCATGGTCTTAGCAACAGCCATGAGGAAGGGCAAGGGAACAGCCATGAGGAAGGGAAAGGGAACAGCCATGAGGAAGGGCAAGGGAACAGTAAACCACTATGCTTCTGCTCCTCCACACTTGTGTCCTTTGATGACACAAGTGAGCAACATTACAGGACACTGTTCTGCAGAAAAAGCTACTATCTCTAAGAATACTGGCAGCAGCAGCCACAACCACTCAGAGCACCACAAGCTCCATGTCCTTTCTCCCTACATTGGCCTCATCCTTGGGAACTTTCCATAGAGAATCCAGTTGGGATGGCCATTGGCATCAGAGAAGTACAAGTCTCGGCTCCGTGCAGCTGTTAAAGTGCTGGTGGGTGCTGTGGGACGCTGACAGGGAAGCCAGGTTCTGATGAACATGGTGAAGTACTTGAGCCATGCAGAAGCTCGTTTCTCAATTTGGTAACAGACTGGGCTTTAGCAACCTCAAACCAGCTCCCAGAAGCCAAGTGTGCATGCAGGGTTCTTCGGTCTTGTCTGTCATCTTTAATTGACACCTTCCACCCGGAAATCTTAGGAAGCTCTTTCCTGGTACCACAGGCCATGGGATATTGCGTGTATTATACTGTCTTCAATCTCATCTTTGCTGTGAGGCTGGTTCCCACTACCTGGCTGGAAGTGTCAGAGGAATTTTTGGGTAGATAAAGGGCCTCAGGTCTCATCTCCCACTAAGGTGGGAAGGAAGACTTTGTTGTGTGTTGCAAAAGCCACCTCTCATCATTGAGCTGACCCTGACCAGGGGTCAACAGTCATGAGGCCCCAGCATCGTCCAACAAGCACTGTTAAAAGATTCAGAAAATAGCCAACACATACTTAACAAGTTTTTTTTTACTTAGCTTGATAACTTGAGTTTAAACAAATAGAAAAATAAGATATTGTAATTTAAAATTTTTTACTTTTTCCAATTATTTTATTTCATTAGTTTATTTATTCACTGAAGATACTTAAGTTTGTTTTTAAAGTACATTTAAATGTAGGAACTTTCTTCTTGGTTTTTGTTGTTTGTTGTTGGTTTTGTTGGGTTTTTTGTTTGTTTTTTTGGTTTTTGTTTTGTTGTTTTGTTTTTTTAGATAAGGTCTCACTATGTAGCTCTGGCTATCCTGGAACTCAGTATGTAAATCAGGCTGTCTTGGAACTTGCATGGGTGTTTTGTCTGCATGTATGCCTGGCATCCAGGGAGGCAGGCCAGAGTATCAGATCCCCTGTGAGCTGCCATGTTGGTAATGGGAGTCAAACAGGATCCTCTGGAAGAGCAGCCAATGTTCTTAATGGTTCCAGCCCCTGAAAGTGTGGCAAGCAAGCAAAGAGACTTGTGCTAGTCTTTTGAGGTCAGGACTGCGTGTCAGCAGCCACTGAGACAGTGGGTGTTGGGTCACTCTCCGACACCTGAGGACTTTGCACTTGCACTGTGGACCCTTACTACTCACCACTGCCCTTCTCCCTCAGTGTCTTGAAGAGGACTCTAACCTCAAAACCTACAGGCCATTTGTGGCTGTAATGACCACACTCTGTGAATGCAAGGACAAGGTCAGCAAGAAGTTCAGCAGGTGAGATGTGTAGTTTCAGACTTTGAGATGACCTGGATTTGGGGTGGAAGAAACTGCTTCTTGTAGCCAGCCTTTTGCTCTGGAATTGATCACTTTCTTGGGTTCTAGGTTTGGTATTCAGCCGTGTTTAATCTGCCAGGGAGATGCACAGGATCCCGTCTGTCTGCCCTGTGATCATGTGTATTGCCTACTTTGCATTCAAACCTGGCTCATCCCAGGACGAATGATGTGCCCTTACTGTTTAACCAACTTGCCAGACAAGTTCTCACTAGCTGTTTCCCAGAGCCACAGGTAAAGCACCCTTTCTCTTAAGAAAGCTTCCTCTCCGTTTTTTCAACATGGTCTTTGGAGATGCCAGCTCTTTGGTCAGCGTTTCTTGGGTCTAAGGGCTGGTTTCAGAGAACTTCCATAAGCAATCCCAGAAGCAAGGCTTCCTGGACATCTGCCTCATAATCCCTTTCCCAAATAAGACAGGCACCAACATTGAGACAGCAAATGTAAAAGATAAGCCAGAAAGTCACAAAGTCCTTGGAAGAAAACCACACATGTGGGTGTAGCCTGGCGTCTTTTAGTGGGGAGGGCTGGCGTGGTGCTGGAGGTGGAACTGAGACTCAGCATGTCCCTTGCCACTCATCCAACACCTGCCCATCATTGCCTTCTTTGTATGTATATGTATGTGTTCATGTGAGTGTCTGTTTACATGTATGTAAATGAGTGTGTATGTGTCCACAAGTCACATACAAGGTATCTTTCTTCATCACTCTAATTCATATTCTGGGACAGGGACCTCAGTAACCCTGCAGCTCATCTCTGCATGGCTGACCAACCAGTGAGGTCTAAGAGTCCTCCTCATTGTCCCCACACACCCTCATGCTGAGATACAGGTGCAAGGGCAGTACTGATGGGACCATCTCCCAGACCCTCATCTGCCTGAGGATGAAAGTGGATATGGCCCAGCCTTTAGGAGGAGCAGAGCCTCAGCCCCATGAGCCTCAGCAGCCCTGACTGTGTCCCATTTTATTGCCCATGCTCTAGGACATCCAACGATCCAGACAATGATAGTGACCTAGAAGCCGTCCTGACACTGTTGTAGTGTTGAGACCAGTTCTGATCATTGTTAAGTTCATCCTAGCAACTAGGAGGCTGACATGGAACTGTGGAGTTCAAGGTCAAACAAGCCTTGATATTTAAACCAAAATACTATCCACACATGCCTTCCCTCTGCCTGGAAGTATCAGGGAACACATTCTACAGTTCTTTTGTCACAAGTCCCTCTCCCTCCTAAGGAAAGCCATTGAGAAGCACGCCCAGTTCCGGCACATGTGTAACACCTTCTTTGTGGACCTTGTCTCTACCATGTGCTTCAAGGACAACTCTCCCCCTCAGAAGAGTGTGATTGATACACTGTTGTCCTTGCTCTTCATACAAAAGGAGCTGCTGAGAGACTCTTTCCAAAGTGAGTTCCCTTCTTCCGATAAAGGTAAAAACCAGAGTCTGGGCTCAGCTTTGTACCATGATACAAACTACAGTCCCCTTCTCTCTCTGGCTGCAGAACATCGGGAACACACAAAGTCTCTGTCTCCATTTAATGATGTTGTCGACAAGACTCCTGTCATCCGCTCTGTGGTGTTAAAACTGCTTCTCAAGTACAGGTCTGTAGTAAGAATTTTGGTTTCTTGAAAAATACAGAAATAGTATGGAAATGTTTTCATTTTAATCCCAGGTGTGGGATGTGAGGCGGCTTCAGACTTCGGCAGCTGACCATGATTTGCCTCGTACTCTAGGAGGGGCAGGGTTTTGCCAGCTGCAGATAGTTTCTGCAATAGTCTGACATTTGGAATTCTGGGGGCTTTTCTGGGAGTATTTAAATGCTAGGGCCCTAAGAGGGTGGGCTGTGTGTTGTTGGTTGTTTGCTATATAATCTTGCTCAAAGAAACAAGAAGAAGAAATTAGATATCCTGACAGCAAAGATCAAACTTGTCTCAGGAAACTCAAAGCTCTTAATCACCAGGAAGTAGTTTAAGGACACCGCTGCTCCCTTCCCTTGAGGAGCTGGAGCTCCTCTGCAGTCTCGAAGCTTTCTGTGTAAGCAAGCCCAAGTTACTTCAGGCTTGTGTGCTCAGAGTTTCCCCCATGGGCCCCTGAGTGTGGCCCAGCAGCAAGGGACAGTTAGTAAGGAACCATGGTGTGGCTCTGGCCCTAGCCCCTGGCACCCAGTCTTGTGACACATCGCGAAGTGACTTGCTGTCTAGCACCTTCTGAGCTCTGGTGGCCTGTGGGTCTGTGTTTTTCTGAATGTGGGCTGTGTCTGTCAGGTCAGAGGAGTAGAATGCACCCTGTCCTCTGTGGCAGATGTGCTGAGCCAGACCTGCAGCTCTTCAAGTGACATGTGGTTCTGAACCCAAACTCTGCCTAGAATCCTATCAAAGCACCCGCAGCCGCTTGGGTATCTGCAGTCGCATTCCTTCTGGTACTGGGGACACTCTGGAGTCACAGTCCTGGTTTCCTTCCCTACTATGCACACAGAGTTGTTGACAGTGCAAATTTCACTCATTTGCCTTACTAAGTCACACCCCTTAAGGGTGTGACCTGTCAGCTCTCATAAACCACACCCCTTGCCTCTGTTCTGTGGGAACTGACCAGCTGTACGGCAGAACCCAGTGGTTACCTCACAGTTGCATAGAGTTGTCCTGAGTTAGGAACCAGCTGCTTGTTTCAGGCTGTGCTAGCTGGGCCTGGAAAGGCAACTGCAGGAACAGAGCAGGGCCTGCTGGTACTTTCCTAAGGACAATAAAAATGTATCAATAGTGCAAAGATTTTCCAAATAACCAATCATGTGTGCCAAACATTCAGGATCTGGGGGTGCAGTCTGATAGAGTACTTGCCTGACAATACAAGGCCCTGGGTTAGACCTATCACCGGGGGAAACATCCCATGAACTGACATAGCCAGAAGCACTGTGTCTCTTTCCACAGCTTCCATGAAGTAAAGGATTACATCCAGAACTACTTGACCCAGTTAGAGAGCAAAGCATTCCTCACAGAAGACAAAACAGAACTGTACCTGCTCTTTATCAGCTGCCTGGAGGTATGATGGTTGTTGTACATTTCTTTTGGGAACTGAGACATGTAGTTCATACAGTGAAAGCATTTCTGAAAAACTACAGGATGCCACTATAGTACAATAAAGAGATATTCTGTTCTGTGTGTGGGAAAGACAAAACAAAGTTTCAGAGTGTGTGGCCACCCTCTGCAGTTGGTATATAGTCGTGAGTTGCCTGATGGTGTTTCGGTACTACCTGTCCCTCAGGGGCCACTGGGAGATGATAGCACTTAGTGATGTCCAAGCTCTATCATTGTTCTGTAAGTGACTGATGTCTGCACAGCAGAGTTCCCCAGTGATGCATTTCTTAGGCCGTGGTACATACTTGTAATGTCCCTTACGACAAAACCCAAAACCTCCCAGGTCTAGAGTGTGGCACACAATTAGCACTGGTTATCCTGAGCTCACCACTATGGACTCTTTCTATCATCCTTACATTAATTATACATTTTCCCTTGTAAGTTTGTTTGTAAAAATCTTCTTTCCCTTAAACAGAAAGGGATGCTAGTTTTCTATGGTTCAAAAAAAAAAATATGCACTGCTACTTTCTTTTTTTTTGGTTTTTTTTTTTTTTTGGTTTTTTTTTTTTGAGACAGGGTTTCTCTGTGTAGCCCTGGCTGTCCTGGAACTCACTCTGTAGACCAGGCTGGCCTCAAACTCAGAAATCCGCCTGCTTCTGCCTCCCAAGTGCTGGGATTAAAGGCACACTGCAACTTTCAATGTTTTTGCTATCCCATGACTCTGCACAGGCTTGCTGTGGCAATTTTCAAAGGCAGGGGCTTACTGGTGTGAACTAATGCCCTAGTCTCTATGCCCTCATTCCTCAGGACTCAGTACACCAGAAGACAAGTGCTGGCTGCAGAAATCACGAGCAGGTTCTCAGAGAGGAAGGCAATTTCCTTAGGACTTATTCCCTAGAACTGCAAGGCCAGGAGTCTGTCCGCACCGCTTCAGTGGAGTACCTGCAGGAGGTGGCCAGAGTCCGCCTGTGCCTTGACTTGGCTGCTGACTTCCTTTCAGAGTTTCAGGAAGGCTCAGGCAAGTCTCCTGTGGAGATCTTTTCATTCAAAACTTTGGAACTGTAGAAAACCTGCTCTTAGGACAAGGCTGTCCTCATCCCTTTCCTCTCTATTCTTTCATGATGGGATTACAGAGAACAGGCTTAAGGCCTCTAGCTGGTTTTGTCTTCATAGCAGATGTCCGTCACTGTCCCTCACCTGCTCTCTCCAAACTCACAGAACTGGCTGAAGATAAGCGGTGCTTCCTGAAGCATGTTGAGCAGTTCTGCACACGCATCAACAATGACTGGCACAGAGTGTACCTGGTGAGGAAACTCTCAAGCCAGCGTGGGATGGAATTTGTGCAGAGCTTCTCCAGGCAGGGCCATCCATGCCAATGGGTGTTTCCCAGGGATGTCATTGCACAGCAGGTAAGGAACAGGGTCTTGGGCACGAAGGGTGGGCTTCTTACAGTCCTACTTGCAGCATCCTGCAGCTAGACTTGGGGTGGAGACTCAGTGTGATGCCCACCTGTGTTTGCCCCAATCCATATGAGAAACGAGCCTCTGCATCTGCTTCAGCGTGACTAACCATCATAGATATAATCCCCATGTGTATCCGTGTGTGTGTGTGTGTGTGTGGTTGTGGTGCACTCATTTGCAGTTATTTAGGTTGGATTTCTTACTGAGCTGGATACAGGTAAGGTAAATGAATGTTTCTGCCCTACCAGCAACTGTGTCCTTTCTACCTCTGGCAAGTAGAAGAGACCAGGAAGATAGAAATCAGAGCAATGACTGTGAGAAGTGTGGCTTTTACATCCTCACTGTAGCACCTTTCCTGGTAGTCAGAACCTACTTGTTCCTGTCCTAGGATTATCTAATGGCAATAAAACTCCTTATTTTTCTTCCTTCATTATTTTCATCATAATTATCACCACTGGGGCTTGGAGGTGACAAATGTTATGTCACCTGGCCTCAATTGAGTGCCGTGAGTGGAGAAAGCAAGAAGCTACAAAATCAGTACAGGCCCTTTCCAGGTTTGCAGTCCCCGGAAGAGATAAATAACTCCCAAAGACGCCCCTTCGCACTCTGTCTTGGAGGTCCTTCCAAGTCTCAGAGGACAATCTGATACCTTTGTCTGTCTAGAGTTCTTTGCAAAATATCTCATTATTCCCACTGTGATTAACCCCTATAATACTGGAATTACAGAAGGACCACTCAAGTCAGATGGACCGATTCCTCGTCCATGGTGATGAATACAAGGCTGTCCGTGATGCAGTGGCCAAAGTTGTGCTGGAGTGCAAGACCCTAGACATTGGGAATGCTCTGATGGTAAGATGGGCCTGGGCTTCTCTCTGATACCAGGAAGCACTGCCTAGAGGCTTGCATCTTCCTTACTTACATCAAATGATGGAGCGAGTAGCTGAGTAGCCCCTAGATTGACACTGTACTAGAAATCAGATGTTCATGGCCTCCTGCCTTCACAGGAAACTGGTGCCTGGAACAGGTGCAATGACACTTGAGTTAGGCAGTGTCTGTATCAGAGCCCCTGATGAGAAGCTACTCCAACCTCACTCAGACCTGAAGAAGGCTAGCACAATGTACAGATCCCTTTGTATGTTTATGGCTTACTCATGCTCCTGACTGACAATGATGTTGAGGTCTTTGCAAGTCGGATCTTGAAACTGTTCCGGTTCTCTTCCCATTTGAATCCCTGCTATTGTTCTGGGAAGGAGGAAACTGAAACTCTTTCCCTGCTTAGGAAATATTTCTGATAGGAAGGAAGTAGTCATCCCGAGGACAGCTACTGGTTGTCTAGCAGTGAACCATAGATTTCCAGAGTGTGGCCAGAAGAGCCTCCCCCTGCCTCAGTAATGTAGTTCAGTGTAAGGGCCTGAGAAGTGCCACCTATCCTTTAAATCTTACTTGATGTCTTTGCCTCTGTAGACATGCAGAAGCCCCAAAGCCCATCAGACAGCCTACTTACTGCTGGCCTTGTACACAGAGGTGGCTGTTTTGTACCACCTCCGAAATGGCAGCCTCCATCCAGAACCAAAGGTGAGCAGCCCATCAGAACTGAAGGATAGCAGGTCTGTGTCCACAGTCTCATCCCATCAACATCACAAACACAAATTATGCTGGAAATTTTCTACCTGTGATGGAGGTAGAAACCTTACTAGAGGGAAGATCTATCTGAACTACTAAAGCATTAACCGTGAAATTCTACTGCATTTTGTTTTCTTCAGTGCTTGGGATACTGGTGTGCATGCTGGATAGTGCCTACCACAGAGCATCCTTTGAGCATGTCTGATTTTCTGCTTTTGTTCTTTGAGACAAAGTCTCACTGTGTAACCCAGACTTGCCTTAAACTCATGATACTCTTCCCTCTGCCTCTTGAGTCCTGGGATTACTGGTGTGCATCACCACACTCACGTACAATGTTGGAGTTTGGAGTGTGATGTTTCTTTGTTCTTTCAGGGTATCATATAGTCTGGGCTAGTCTTTAACTTGAACTCTTGAGTCTCCGATCTCCTTCCAAATGTTCAGTCCGGCTCTACAATGTTGTTTTGAAACATGCTAATGTTAAAACATTTTTTCTCATCAGCAATTGGAGACTGTGAACAAATTCATTAAGGAAAGCAAGATCCTCTCTGCTCCTAACATCAGATGCTTTGCAAAATCGCTAGTGGAGAATACTCTGCCCCTGCTGCAGACCAGGTCTGCTCACAGTAGCCTGCAGGGAACGGTGATTGAAATGGCCATCCACATGGTAACCATACTCCTCTGTGGACAAAACAAAGTTTTGCAGCCCCTGAGGAACTTGGCCTTCTATCCCACCAACATGGAGGTAAGATCACTTCTGTTTTCCCTCAGTATCTTCAGGGCTTTGTTCCCATCTGTCTCCCACAGTGGTGGTGAAACATGGCCTGCCTCCCACACTCCTAGCACTGTGTTAGTCAGGCTTCTCTAGAGGAACAGAACCAATGGCATGAATACATGTTGAAAGGGGATTTGTATTTGTCAGATGGCTGTGTGTGATACAGTCTGGGTAGCCCTACAATGGCTGTCTCACACTGGAGAGGCTAAGAACTGCATAGCTGCTTAGTCCCCTAGAGGGTTCCTGGAGACACTCTCATGTCAGAGACAGATGGCAGCAGAACAACAGGAAGATGAACTCAATAGTAATGTACAGACAACAGATGAGCTTGCCAGCAGGATGGGAAGGCAAAGGAACACATAGCAAAGCCTCTCCTGGATCCTCCTTAGATATAGAAAGTAGGGTAGGTCTTCTCACTTCAAATAACCTGACTAAGGGCATCCCTTATAGGTATGCCCAGGAGTTTATCTCTTGGCTGATTCCAGATCCAGTCAGACTGACAGCCAAGATTAGCCAGCATAGGTATCCGTGGCAAATAGTTTTGAGGCTGCAAAGTCAATGCCCTCCTTGCTTTGCTCTGACTGTATGGATGTACACTCACTTGTCATGACCTGTCTTGCTTCTGGGATTTCAGAATGCTTTTCTTCCAACAATGCCTGAAGACCTGCTGGTTCATGCTAGGACATGGGAAGGCCTGGAAAATGTCTCCTGGTACAGTAAGTGTTGGCATCGTGCTCTTCTGAGTCACAGGCCTTGGGTTGTGCTTGGGGTCCACAGTTCCCTTTGGTAGCTTACAGGGCTCATTCTCTGCTGACGCCGAGTCCTAAATCTCTTATGTCTGAGTTCAGAGAGAGCCCTCTGCAGTGCCCTTGTGTGCTCTAGAACATGCATCTGAGAAAAGAGGGGACTCTGAACCACACTGAAGTTCGAAGGAAGACAAAGCTGAAGTACAGAACTGAAAGGCAAAATCATGTAGCCCAAGGCTTTGTGTGAATTTTGCTGTTGCTTTGAGTAAATAATCTTTTAAAAATAATTTAAAATTTTGTCAGATAACAATAATAAATCCAAAGAAAATAAAGGTGGAAAACACTATCTACCATGCTGCCGAATTCACTGTGAACTGATGATCTAATTTCTCTTTTCTTTCTAAGTTCAGACATTTTCACTGAGCACATCCATCTTCCACACTAAGCACACAGCACACATTCCTCACAATTTACCAGATAGTTCAAACTTCTAAGGAGGTACTGAGGCTGTGTCATACTTGGTCAGGATCAAAGAGGGCAGAGGGTAGGGGCCCCAGTGGGTCATCTGGATCCTAACTAGACAATGTGTGTCCTATTCTTCTAACAGCTTGTCCCAACGGTCATCTGTGCTCTGTAGGAGAGGTGAGTTTTGGTGTTTGGGATATGGTTTGGTTAGGTGGAGGCTCAAACTGTGTGTTCCCCAGGTTCAGAGAAGAGGTGGGCAGAGGATGAAACCTTGACCTTCTGGTAAAACACAGACTTGTTCTGAGGACCATTCAGGGTATCCAAGCAAGTACCTGCCTTACTGAAGGCTTCTGGCCTTCAGGGCTCCCCCATGTAGCACCACAGGTGCTCTCCATTGTAAGGCCTGCTCCTTGCTTTTCACAATAGCTAGCAGCATATGTGGTCTCTGCACAGTAGATACAGATTTGAGTGGCAACAGCTATCCAAAGGGGGATGAGCTGGAATGTCTCCAGACATTGCCACAGGGCCATGAACCCCAGCGGGCTGCTGGTTGGGATAACTACATCCTCAGACCACACAGCAGGGGCTGGTGACACTACAGAATGGGAAAGACATCCCAGAGTTGGTTTTTGCCACCGCAGGCGCTGTGCCTGCTGAGCAGCAGGCTACCAGGCTACAGTGACATGTCCTTCATGAAGGACGGGTTGTGGAGGGAAGGACTAAGGCAAACACCTCACCATTTCTAGGACTTTTGTACTTCCTTGTCCATGGAACAAGGCAGAAAAGGATTCTTCCCCAGGCTGACCCAGGCTCTGGGGGTCTATGACTCCTTTGGTGTGCTATGGGCCATGTGTCACACAGTACATAGCTATACCATCTAACTTTTTAAAAAGGCCCTTGCAGATAATTGCTATAGTTGGATTTTGTTTTAAAATCACCATCATATATTTAAAAAAAAAAAATCAGGCTGAATGTGAGTAATGGCACTTTTCATGGTGTTAGATAGTGAAGCCCGAAGATGAGTGTACAGGTACAAGAAAGGAATAGAGAGCTGGGTGTGAGAAAGAAAAAATGTGCTTCAAAATTTCCTATACTTGTCAATCAATTTGGAATTCAAACTCAGTTTTACATCTACTTTTCAAAAACGTTTGCATTACTGTTACCATGCATATAGTGTCCACCCTGTCCCCGTATCAAGCCCCAGAATTAAATGTACACATAGGAACCATCCCTTTCTATGGCAGTGCAGGGTTGTTACACAGCAGCTCTTGTGCATAAAAGAACACTGTGTTCACTCTAGTGTGGCAGGCCAATGGAAGTGAGCTTCTGTCTGGAATGTCGTGCTCCAATCGGAGGCCTTAATCACATCCCGCAGAAGGGTTTCCATATCATCAGGTATGTAAGCTTCTTCCTTGCTAGTAATCACCCCTGGACTTCAGGACTGCTTCTACTCTTTTGTCTAAACTGTCACTTGTGTCACAGACACTATCGCTCTTCTGGATGGATGTCATGCATGGCATCAGTGCCAAAGTCCCTGTCATCAGGAAACCGTAAGGTGCTGTCACTGGTCGTAAACACAACATGGCTGGCATATTAGCACTTACCAATACAGACATGTTCTGTGGGTCCTGGGCTTACTCCTTGTATAAATATTGTTCTATAAGCAGATGCCCCTGACTTGGATGGACAGTCAGGTACAACACACTGAGCCAGCATTTGCCCGTCTCGACACATGCCACCTAACTTGAACTTGTAAACCACCAGCCTTAGTTCTCTCTCATCTTCCCAACTGCAGCAGTCTGGGGGTTTTGTTTGTTTTGTTTTTTGTTTATATGCTTAGGAACTCATACTGTATCCGTGGCTGTTCTGGTACTTGCTATGTGGCCCAGGCCTGCCTCAGCCTCCTGAGTGCTAGGATTACAAGGGCACACCACCCAACTTGGCTTGTTTTTGTTTTTCAAGATGTAACGAAAATAAATGCACATAAAGCTTGCCAAATATTGCCATGACTTGGTTTGTGTGAGGGGTAGGTTCTAAGACAACCACAACATTGTAAAATCCTTAGTAAAAGCTGCCTGCCATATAAAATGGCACAGATATTAGACAGAATGCCACTCCTCTCCCATGTGCTCAGTCATCTAGACTGTTTACAAGGCCTGTCACAATATGAGTGCTATAAGAAAGCCTAGATAGATAAGTCTGACCCCACAGTTCTGATACAATGTAGCTCATTACTCCCTTAAGATTGATTGGTGGGGCCTGTCTATAGCACAGTATGTTCTGGTACTTCTGGTATGGTCAAAGCTACATATCTCTAAGCAGAATGTCTTTGTTATGCAGTATTTTTGTAACTGAATATACACACTGTATCTCCCATTTGCTACATATGATGTAAAATGTGCTAGCAGACCTTGGATCACTATTATTGGGAAAATGAGAAGAATGTGGAAAACACAAGCATGGGTACAAAATGTTCCAAACTCTAGCTGCCCAGGGCAGATGCACGTCTCTTTCCTGATGCCTTCCTGGGGGTCAGCAACAGCCATTTCATGTAGCCACTTTAAACTGAGTCTTGGGTTGTTGGCCAGCCAGAAGGGAGGTCTGAAAAGATATATAGGCAGGCATCCCACACTAAGAAGGAGGAGGAAGAGGAAGGAGGAGGAGGGGGAAGAAGGAGGAGGAGGAGGGGGATGATGACGATGATGACTTTTTATGTTGTTTCCTCAGTGCACAGAACCCTACCTCCAAGTCCTGAGGGTCTAAGACATCACCCTAGAGCTTGGAAGATTAGCTTCTTTCAGTCTTCACCTTGTCTCTTCTCTTCCTTTCCAGCAACAATGAAGATAGAACACAGACTGGCCACGTGTTGGGAAACCCACAGTCCAGTGGTGCTGCAGAAGCATCTGACCGAGGGCAGTCCCCAGTGGTCTTTATCCTCACCCGGCTATTCACTCATTTGGCTATGCTTGTGGGAGCCACCCAGAATCCCCAGGTATTTGTAATAAGCTGCTACTCAGAGCTCTCTTGAGCTGCTAGACAAGAGCTGGCTATTGTTTCCTGTCAGTCCTTACATCTTAAGCTTGCTTGCCAGTGCCTGTGGGTTAGGAGTATGCTGCTGGTGCCTAGTCTGCGGAGTCACAGAAACCTAACCTTTTCCAACACGGCATGGAATGTGATGAAGTGCTTTTCAGATTATGTCAAATCCATTTCTTCTTTTTATTAATATTTTTCATGGTGCTCTAGAGATAAGAGTTCTACCATGGAAGGATACAGAGTCCGGTTTTCTTTTTAACTCATACCAACTAGTTTTTTGCATTATGTCACCTGTACACAAGGTGTAAGGACCCTATGATAAAGTTTATTTTCAGAGAGCAGCATGGAGAAGCTACGGCCATCCATGCTGCATCTCTACCATATGAATACTAGCTAAGAGGACAAGTTCAAGGTTGATGTCTCAGATAACCCACAGCCAGCTTCTGCCTGTTCCTTCTACCACCTCTGTTGCTACATCATGCTTAGAAGTCATCCTCTGACTTGAGGCTGGTGTCTTACTTTTCCTGGCCTCTCCTGGGCTCACCATCTCCACTATATATGAGATATTCTGAACGTTTTGTTTCATTACTCCCAGGCCCTGAGGAATATCATTAAGCCTCGGGTCCAGGACCCACAAGGCTTCCTACAGCAGCACATCCAGAGAGACCTGGAACAGCTAACCAAGATGCTGGGCAGGAGTGCAGACGAGACCACCCATGTGGTACACCTCATCCTGAGAAGCTTGCTCAAGGAGCAGCACCAGAGTAAGCAAAGGGGGAAAGAGCTAAGCTAGGCTAAGGAATCATACCCCATGACTCCTGAGTGAGTGAAAACCACAAACTTGATGATAACCTGTAATCTAGTACTTGGGAAGCTGAGGCAGGAGTAATGTGAGTTCTTAGGTCATCTGGGCTTCACAGGAAAATCCTTTTTTAAATAAAAAGAGAAGGGATGGGAGAAAAAGAAGCCCGAACTCCTTCTAGCAGGCTGAAGAAATCTCTCTTCTCAAACTACCATGCACAAGGTCCTTCTACCCTTTGGTACTTGGGAATGTTTATACACAAGTGCAAACTTATTGTTGGAGACACATGTCAAGCAACACTTACACCCAGGAATCAGTCACTAGCCGTGCTTCTGATTTTTACTAAAAATTCCATGGTTGTAACCCAGTCTCCTAGTTGACCATGGATTGTTTCCATGCACACAGTTTCTCCTAGTTGACCATGGGCTGTTTCCTTGTACACAATTTATTTGAGAAAAAGCAAGCACTGCTCATTGAGCTGACAGTTGTGTTCTGAGAATTTAAATCTACCAAGAAAGAATATGCAAGATGATTTGATAAATAGCACTGAAGATGACATTAGTTTTTAAAAAAGATTTATTAATTTATTTGATGTATATGTGTGCCCTGTCTTCATGCACACCAGAAGAGAGAATCAGATCCCATTACAAGCTACCATGTAGCTGCTGGGAATTGAACTCAGAACTGGCTACTACTCTTCCAGTGTTCTTAACCACTGAACCATCCTCCAGGCCATGAAGATGGCATTGTTAAGAATGGCTTTTTCTTAACTGGAAAACAAACAAACAAAAAAAAACCCCAAAAAATAAAAAACAAAAAAACAAAAGACTTTTTGATTTTGGTGGCGCTGGGGATTAATGCATGGGGCCTTATACATGATAGGCAAACATTTCTTCTGTTCAGCTATCTCAAAGAAAGTCCTGCAATGATCTTTTAAAGCCATCAATAGGAAAACAATGGTATCCTGTGTATTTTATTAAGGTGGGGTGCATACCTGCCTCAGTGCATGTGTGGAGGTTGGAGGACAACTTTTGGGAGTTGGTTCTCTCCTTCCACTTAGTTGAGAGAAGTCTCCCTTGTTGCTGCTATTGCTCTGCATATTCAGGATAGCTGGCCTGTGAGCTTCAGGCAATTCTATCATTGTTTCCATCGTGCAGTGCAGACATTACAGGTGCAAGCCACTACAGCAGGTGTTTGTGGGTCCTGGGGATAGCGCTCGGGTTGTCAGGCTTGCATAGCCAGTGCTCTTACCTACCACCCCAAACTATGAAAATAAGATAACAGCAAGACAGGGGCTGCCTGCAAACAGAACCCGCTCTTCTAGGCCTTCCTCCCCAGTCTGCATTACAGGAACTTGCTATTGAGTAAAACCTCATTTCACTGAAAGCCTGGTGGTGTGATTCCACACAAAGGAGAGCTTTCTAGAAGGCTGCCACTATCTTAGCTTCTACACCACCTTCATAGGTGTTGGTCTGTGGGTAGCAGCTGGAGTGGCTGATGGTCGCACTGGGCACCTCTCTTCTCTGCTTCTGGGCTTGCGATTTTAAGTTCCTTTCTTAGTAGTTTTGTTCTGTATGGCTTCGTGATGACAACAGTTGAGTCAGAGGAATTGTCTGAAGTTAAGGAATCATCACAAAGGCAGGAGCAGCAGATGAGTGCATCAGGGGCTGTCAGCATCCTTAGGGTACTTAGGAAGGTACTTCCTCCATATGGAACTCTCTATTGCACGTATCTGGTACTTACTATAAGCAGGATGCTATGGCTCTTATTCTAGGGCAACCCACACAGTCTTATTTTATTTGTAGGGGAAGTAAATTTTAATGCAGATTTGTCAACCAAAAAATACAGAAACAACTGGGAGAAGCATTTTGAAACCCTTCTTCTACGTGAACTGAAGGTAAGCTGTGACAGTTGCTTAGCACTTCTGTCTAGGATAGGAGTAGGGGTCTCCCATTCGTCTGCTGAGTAATCTTTATCCTTCATCCCTGGGGAGGAACTGTAGGATACTCCCCTGAGCCTCAGGTTTCACTGCCCTCAGCCTACAGCTTGCTTGTCGTCACTCTGGAGAGCTGGATGTGAGCGTATGAAGCAGATATACTGCCCTACAGAGAGACCCACTAGGATACACAGTAGTCAGAGATGAAATACTCTTCTGCCAGAGAAGAACACTGCTGAGAGGAACAAAGCATTCCGGAAATAAAGTGGGGAAATGGAAGGAAAGCAGTGAGTGTGGCATCTTAGACCTGTATTCCCTGTATTCAGGGAGGCCAAACCCTACAAGGAAGTGTTAAGTTATAACAGAAGGCAGCAGTGGGACAGTCAAGGTTGGAGAGTAGCCACAGCCTGTGTGCAGCAATGTCTCAATTCTAGAATTCTGTTTCGTTCTCTTCATCCAGCATCTTGACGAAACCTTGCCGGCTGTAAATGCTCTCATCAGCCAAGATGAGCGTATCAGTTCCAACCCTGTGACCAAAATCATATACAGGGACCCAGCTACCTTCCTGCCCCGCTTGTCCCAAAAAAGTATAGTTCATTGCTCGAAGATCTGGAGCTGCAGGAAGAAGATCACAGTGGAGTACCTGCAGCATATTGTGGAACAGAAAAATGGCAAAGAAACTCTGCCTGTCCTCTGGCACTTTCTCCAGAAGGTACAAGTGACCTCACAAAGAACCAGGGAGTCCTGAACCTGTGCTCAGAACAGTGACTCCTGGGGCCAAAGTTCTGAGCAGCTGCCAGTGCTGCAGCTCTAAGAGAATATTGGTAGGAGGAAACTCAAGGAAGCCTCTGCAGTCTCAGGCCCCCTGAAGTGTAGTCACAGGTAAAATAACACATGGATTGGTCAGTAGTCATCTGAAGAGAACTGAGGGCCAGGAGGCCAGCTGGCCACTCAGCAACAACCAAAAGGGTACAGGTCATCTGCAGTGTCTGCAGTGATGGTAAACATTATTCAAAATGTGAAAACTTCAAACTTTAAACCATCTAGGCACAGACTGAAGCTGGGAATGTGAGCCGGAAGTAGGTTGGGAAGCTCTGAGATGCAGCAATCCTGTCAGACTCAGTTTCTCAGTTTCTCTTATCCACTGGAGCCCTGGTCACAGTGATCTTTCTTGTTACCCTGTGCACCAGTGTTGGGTGTTCACAAAGTAACTCCCTTATGTCAGTGCTGGGACTTCTCTCAGGGCGGTTTTCTTTGGCTGAGGAAGCTTGGCTCTGAGGCTTTGGAACAATAACCACTGATGTCTATTTGCTTCCAACAGCTTCTCAAACACTCAGTCAGTCACACAAGCACAAAAGATCACTTCTTTATCTTTACCTTTAACAATTACACACATTAATGGGGTTCATTGTGACATTTCTTACACATGCACACAGACTAAGACAATGAAGCCCAACCTTCCTTTCTACCTGTTCCCTCCATCTGTCACTCAACAGATAAGCTGATAAACTGTTACAATGATCAAATCACCATCTTTCTGTCCACATGGCACACACTGAGGCAGTCACTGGAAAACAATAGAGTAGAACAGTGGTTACTATCCCACCTCTAAGTCAACTTCTTTAGCTCAACATATGAGTATGCTGTACTTATCTTCCTGTATGTGACTTATTTCACTTATTAAAGTGACCTCTTGGGGGTGATAACTCAGTGGTTAAGAGCACTAGCTGCTCTTCGAGAGGTCCTGAGTTCAATTCCCAGCACCTAGATGGTGGCTCACAACCTATGATGTGACCTGATGCCCTCTGCTGGCATGCAGACAAGCATGCACAGAACACTTCTATACACAGGATAAATAAATATTTCTAATAGATAAGTAACTTCTGACCCAACGACAGCCATTTTCCTTCGTACCCCAGGAGTTTGTTCATCCGAAGCTCAGTGATTGTCTTCCTTTGTGATATACACCACACTCATTCTGCCCAGTCATCTGCTGATGGGCATCTAGATTGAAACTCTTAGCTGTTGTCACTGAAGTCACAGAAAGCATGGGCATGCACATGTGTCTTTGGTCTACTGAACTTCTTTCCTTTGAATGTATAACTAGAAGAAAGGCTAGACTGTTTGGTAATTAACATTTAATTTTTTGGGGACCCTCCCTACTCTGCCATAATAGCTGTTCTAACTTATACTCAACTAGCAATGTTTTTCCTTTTTCTCCACATCCTGTCCAGCATTTGACACTGGCTGTTTTTTTCACTGGCCTTCTGCCTGGGGTGAGATAGTATTTCAGTATGTCACTGATTGCTCTTTCACTGATAGCTAATGATACTGACCATTTCTTTATATACTTGTTGGTCATCTGTATTTCTTGAGAAGTATCTATTCAGTTCATTTGTCTACTGTTAATGTGATTGCATTAAGTTTTTGAGTTTTTTGTTTTGTTTTGGTTTGGTTTGGTTTGGTTTTGGTTTTTCAAGACAGGGTTTCTCTGTGTAGCCCTGGCTGTCCTGGAACTCACTCTGTAGACCAGGCTTGCCTCGAACTCAGAAATTCACCTGCCTCTGCCTCCCAAGTGCTGGGATAAAAGGCATGCGCCACCACCACCTGTCAGGTTTTGAGTTTTTTACATACTCTGGACAGGAGCCTTTTTGGGCAAGTAGCAAGTCTTCACTTCTATTCTGTAATTCTCTTTTGCCCCTGTTGACTTTGTTGAACAGAAGGTTTTCAGTCATTTGTCACCTCACTTGTCACTCGGTGCTTTTGGATTCCTGTCCAGAAGTGACTCTTCACTCTAGCACATTTCCCGTTTTCTTCTGGCACTTTTGGGTCTTATGTTTAGGCATTAGATCCATCCTGGGTTGATTTCTGTACTGGATGAGATAGGATTTAATCCTCAAGACAGCTCTCCCCATTGGATTTTGGCACATAGGTTTGGCTCTGGGTGTCAGGGCAGAGTGTAGAACAGTGTAAGACTGTAAGCCATTTGTGGGTACTTAGAGAAAGAATGAGGTAGCCGTTTACCTGTTTCTAGAGTCTATGGTACATCACCATATAAAATGAAACACTGAGCAGATTAAATCAGCAGTATCAATCCCACAAGCACCCACAAAACATACATGCCAGCTAGCATTTCTTAGGTAAATAGAGGCATCATTATAAACCATCTTCCTCTCTGCAGGAAGCAGAACTAAGGCTGGTGAAATTCTTGCCTGAGATCTTGGCCCTGCAAAGAGACCTAGTCAAACAGTTCCAGAACGTCTCGAATGTTGAATACAGCTCCATCAGAGGCTTTATTCACAGTCACCATTCAGGTACGACTCTACTCAAGCTGTAAAAAGAAGTCATGACCATTTGTGTTTAACAGATAAAGGGATGAGGGCTCAATTGCAGGTCACTGAGCCCTAAGTGTTCAGAACAAGATGAAGAGACCCTAATTGCAGCTAACAAACTGCAGCAGGAAAGCACAGGGCTGCTGTGGGTCAGAACTTGGCTGTATTGTTGTCACGGTTCTTCTGAAATGCTTTGCTCAACAGATGGGCTGAGAAAGCTGTTACATGATCGAATCACCATCTTTCTGTCCACGTGGAATGCACTGAGGCGGTCTCTGGAGACCAATGGTAAGTGTCCTCTTCCCTCCAGCAGTGTAACAACAGGATGTGCTGTGCACACACTGCTCTGAAGCTCAGTGTTGCCCGTCACACTCAGCACCATGCACGCTCTCTAGGTGTCTTCAGATGGAGGCTGTCTTAGTTAGGATGACTATTACTGTCATGAAACATCATAGCCAAAAGCAAGCTGGGGAGGAACAGGTTTATGTAGCTTATTTCCTCCTGCACACCGCTATCATCAAAGGAGGCCAGGACAGGAACTCAAACAAAGTGGGAACCGGAAGGCAGGAGCTGATGCAGAGGCCATGAGGATGGAGGAGAGGGAGGTTACTGCTTCCTAGCTTGTTCCCCATGGCCTGTTCTTATAGAGCCAGGACTACCAGCACAGGGAATACCCCACCCACAATGGCTTGTCCCTCCCCTATAAGTCACTAATTCAGAAAACGCCCCATAGGCTTGCCTACAGCCAGCTCTTATGAAGGTATTTTCTTACTTGAGGCTGCCTCTTCTTTGATGACTGTAGCTTGTATCAAGCTGACATAAGACCAGCCAGCACAGAGGGTCTGGGAGAAGTATGCTGGCCTAAGAGCCTTTGTCTTCTTGAATCCAAAAACTGGGTTTCAAGAAAGAGTTGGGATCGTTGAACACTTGTCAGCATTGAACACTTGTCCGGTTAAAGACAAGACCTTAAACAGACTCCCTCCACTGTATCAGACAGGACAAGCATATCTGTATGTGTCTTCCCCTCACCTTGATGCAGGGGCTAAGACTGCATGGTGCAGCTTACCTGTCTGCTAAGGAATGATCTTGTCATTTCCAGGTGAGATCAAGCTACCAAAAGATTACTGCCGTTCTGACTTGGATCTGGATGCTGACTTTGAGGTCATCCTCCCACGGCGACGGGGCCTAGGCCTCTGTGGAACTGCTTTAGTCAGCTACTTGATTAGCCTACACAATCAAATGGTCTACACGGTGCAAAAGTTCTCCAATGAAGACAACAGGTGGGTGTACAAGCCAACAGAGCATGGTGTTTGCCCATCCCTAGGCTCCCGAGCCTCTGCCATCTTCTGCTCTTTCCATGGCAGAGCCTCTCTTGGCCATTCTCTCCAGAGTGGCCCATAGACATGCAGCGTTCCCCTGTTCAGACCACACAAGCTGAAACAGGAATGTCCCTATGTGTCTGCTCTCCACACCCAGCACGTGTCTTGTCCCTCAGCTATTCTGTAGATGCCTCTGAGGTTGCTGACCTGCATGTCATCAGTTATGAGGTGGAGCGAGACCTGACTCCACTGATCCTCTCCAACTGCCAGTACCAAGTGCAGCAAGGTGGGGAAACCTCACAAGAGTTTGATCTAGAGAAGATCCAGTGGCAGATCAGCAGCCGCTTCCTGCAGGGCAAGCCCAGGCTGACCCTCAAGGTAAGCTGAGTCTGGCACTAGCTAATGTGCTTGGTTATGTCAAAAGTAAGTACCGTTCAGGTGTTCTGGGAGACACCAGAGTACACTGCACCACCCACAGTCTCATCTGTGTCATCTACTTCCCACTCAAAAGCATGCATGGCCACAATTCCATCAGCCTCTTAGCTGTGGTTGTCTCAAGCGCTTTGGTACCACCTTCTGCACCTCAGTCCCCCAGAGACATTCTCCCATCTCTAGGGGACTTAGCATTTGGTTTTTCTGCCATTATTAATGGCACCACCAAGGAACTCTGCCATTGTTGCCCTGTTCCTCAGTACTCTATGCCCAGAGACCGGTGTGTCCTCTCTGTGTCCTCACCTTTACCTGCCATGGCATACCTGTCATTTCGGCCATCTGACACAGTGCTCCCTGGGCCCTCTATGTTGGCCACCCTTCATGGCATCCCACTGCCTCCCTTCTCTTGACACAGAGGCCTGTGGCTCCAGCTCAGCTTTCCAGTTACCTTGACTCAGTTGTCTGCCCTCACACGTAGGATTTCTGCCACCTAGTGAACACATTTGCAGAGCCACATTCTGTTCTTTCATCTGGACTGCTGGGGATCCTTCCAGTCCAGTCAAATACATTGCATGTAGGTTTATTTATTTCCACAGACATCCAGAAGTTTATCATATAGCTTATAGCTATGCTGTGACTTGGAGCCCAGGGCTATTTCTGATTAACTTTGACAGCCCTGCTGTCCCGTAAAGTGACTGCTCCTCCTGGGGCCCCTCGCACACATAGTGTGCTGCAATATTCTATACAACAGAATCTTTGAAGCCATTGAAGCAAGGCTTTATCGTTGTGTCACTGTTTCCAAAAATGGCGTCTTCAGCATAGACATCCTGGGGTAACACTGTGGGCTTTACCAGCAATGCCTTGAGTAGCTGGGTGCTGCTAATGAGTCACTGAGGAAAGATGTGTTTGCCATCTAGTGAAAATACCCACTGTGGATTTCATCTCTAAAACTTTCTCTCTCACTTTAGGGAATACCCACCCTGGTATACAGACGGGACTGGAACTATGAGCATCTCTTCATGGACATCAAGAACAAAATGGCCCAGGTGCTCTTGATAGCCGTTGTCTCCTGCTGGGTGGCTCTAGCTACTAAAGACAGCTCCAGCTGCATTACACCTATTGTGAGCACTATCGTCTCAGTGTCTTTGTAAGACCCCTGAGACTCCTGTGAGCCCAGTGCTTTCCACAAAACAAAGCAGGCTAGCAGATCACCAAAGTTTTTATCTGAGTCTAAACACAGTGATATCCTGCAGGGCTGGTTTCTTGGTAATATATCACAGTTGTGTGTGCTGAGGCTAAACAGCCAAAGAACTTAATGTGTCCTTGCTCTTTCCTAGCAATTCTGATTGGAAGCTGAATGGCTGTCTCTCCTCATAGTGTTGTTCTGAGGTTCTATGAGTTTGTGTCTGGAGTGCTGCCTGCACTTAGTGTGTACCACGCATCAGGCTAGTGCTTTCTGGAGAGCCTGTCCCAGCTGTAGCTTCAGCAGTGACAAAGCTAACCTCTTCTCAGTTGGTGAGAAACAAGCTTGACCATAACCCCAACCTTACATTTTGTTCCCCAGGACCCGCTCCCTAACTCAGCCATCAATGCCATCAGTAGACAGCTACAGTCCTATAGTGATGCCTGTGAAGCCCTGTCTATCATAGAAGTCACTCTGGGTTTCCTGAGCACAGCTGGTGGGGATCCTGGCATGGACTTGAATGTGTATATCCAAGAAGTCCTACAGATGTGTGATCAGACTGCTCAAGTCTTAAAGGTAAGCACTAGTGCCAAGCCTGGTGGTATACCAGTACTCCCAGTACTCAGGAGGAAGAGGCAGGGAAATTGCAACTCCCAGGCCAGCCTGGGATACACAGTGAGTTCCTGTGTAGGATTCTGAGTAAGACCATGTCTCAAAAGAGGGAGGGAAGTCCTGTTGGAATTGTTGCATGGGAAATCAGCATGACCCTTGCCAAAAGCTCCTGCTTGCTTTCTAACTAATTCCACCATGCATCAATGTAGAACTCCCCTAAGTGGAAGAATAAAGAACATTCCTCTCACAATCGGTCTGCCCTGTACGCAGTATACTTGCATCAGTAGACTGACACACGCTCCATGATGTCATCTAGGCAGGGCCCACCCACCATCTGTGAGCACTGCAGATCTGTACAATGTGTGACATCATGAGGAGACAGGCACAGGTCAGTTGAACTTGTAGATAAGTGTCTCATGACAAGGGAAATAGAATGAGCTCAAGACAGAAATGGGGGAATGTGCCTGTGATGTGACACTTAGATTCTGTAATGCACATGGGTGACTCTGTTCCTCTTTCAGGCCTTAAATAGATGTCAGCTGAGACACATCACTGCCCTCTGGCAGTTCCTATCTGCACATAAGTCAGAACAGCGGCTGCGACTGAAGAAAGTGAGTCTCACCTCTGCTGTCCACTGTGGAGGCGGCAGCAGCACTCTACCCAGGTCTTAATGTATCACTTGTCCATCCTTCATTTCAGGAGCTGTTTCAGGACATTGATGTGAAATACAAAAAGGACCTCAGTCCACAGCACGCAAGACTCCTCAGCACATTCCTGAATGAGGCAGGCCTAGACACCTTCCTCCTGGAGCTCCATGAGATGATTGTGCTCAAACTCAGGGGACCCCAGGCTGAGAGCAGCTTCAACCCCAATTGGAGGTATGGCCTTGAACAGCTGCTGGCAACCCCAACTGCAGCTATGTCTTGTTGCTGGTGGCTTCCCCTAGACTTGAAGATAGTCCTGCTTGTCCAAGACCCTTTTTCTGTTAACTTTCCATGCCTTTGGTACTTTGTAGATTTAATTTGCTTTGGTTTTCAGTTTTTCAAGGCAGAATTTCTCTGAAGCTCTGGCAGTCCTGGAACTCACTCTGTAGATCAGGCTAGCCTCAAACCCAGAGATCTGCCTCTGCCCCTCTGCCCCTCTGCCCCTTTGTCCCTCTGCCCCTCTGCCCCTCTGCCTTTCTGCCTTTCTGTCCATCTGCCCCTCTGCCCCTCTGCCTCTCTGCCTCTGCCTTTCTGGCTCACTGGCTCTCTGCCTCTCTTCCTCTGCCAGGATTAAAGGTGTGCATCACCATAGCAGGCTTCTTTGGTGTAGTTTTCTATTTGATTTTACTCCTTTATGATTAAAAGAAAAAAAGTCAGTGGTTAGGGAAATGGCCCATTTGGTAAGAGTTGGTGTTATACAAGTGTTGGGACTTGTGTTTAGATCCAAGCAACCCACATTAAAACCTGAGTGTGGCTCCATATGCCTGTAACCTCAGCACTGGGTATATGGTGGGGACATCAGGCAGATACTGGGAAATCACTGGCCAGCTGACAAAAACAAAAGCATGTTCGAGGGTCCAGTAAGAACCTGTCTCAAAAAAATAAGATGCAAGGCACTGGAGCAAGACATAAAACAACACCCTTAGGCCTCTGGACACACATGGGCAACACACATGGGCAAAGATGTGCACATATGTAACATACCACACACAAAAAGGCAAGCAATCAGGAAGGAAGACTGAGGATGTAGCTCACTGGTAGAGTGTATGCCTTGCACTCTCAGTTTCTCTGTATCATCCCTCAGTTCTGCATGAATGGGGCATGGTGACACATACCTATAACCCCAGCACTAGGAGTTTAGGACTCAG